TTCGGTATTGCTAAAATCTGGGATTAATATTAGTAAAATCTGCCAATAATAAGCGCTTACCAAGCTACATGTATATTTTAACTGAAGTAGATAGCACCTGGTATGATTTGTCTCTGGTCTTCAGATGGAACATGGCTAGAGTTGTTTGTAGACTGGTATGAGCACCTCATTTAGGAGGTTTTCCTCTTTTTTTTAATGATTGCTTTTATTTCATATGTTATACAAAGAGATATATTTGAGACCATACCCAGGCACACTTTTATTTAGCATCTTGAAGAACATACGATCAGTCGATGGCCCAATAATGTCTCAAATTTCCTTTTAAACCCAGAAAGGTCATGTAATTTGTTCAAAGTCACTGAGCTAATTAGTTGTGGAGATGAGGTTTTCTAGCTAGAATACACAGCCAACAAAAATCATTTAAGATAATTTAGTTTATTTATTTTTATTTCTTCAACTAACAACACACATCAGTTAGATTCATATCAGAACCCACTTTGCATTCTGTCCCCACAATCTGTCTTTCCTTGAATTAACGAAATGTAAAATGGGAAAATCACAGGTTTAATAGTTGGCATCTATAGTGCGTAGGGTACAGCATAAAAGCCCCTATATTAATTACATAAATTTTGGCTTATTATATAATTCTGCCCTTTTGCTTTAGAACTTGAAATTGCCTTAAATGCAGAGAATTTATAAAAAAATACATAATCGCTGTCATTTTTAGATGTAATTATATGCTCAAAAACTAAATGAGTGATATGTCATACCACCTTCGTTTCTATAAGATTTATGCTTGCTATCTTTTGTAACACACAAAGTGGGCAAATAAAATGTAAATAATATGGCTAGTTACTCTGAGGCTTGTGAATGTCCAAGAGAGTGTATGGGCATTATCACAAATTACCTCAAAGATAATAACAGCTAACACATGTAGAACAGTTACCCAGGCACTGTTGTGAGTGCTTCACATTCATCACCCCAGTCTTCACAATCACCCGTGAGGTAGGGTTATTAGTATCCTCTTTTACTGATGAGGAAAATTAGGCAGAGAGATTATCACTCCATCTGGTCTCAGCATTTCTTAACCACTTTTTAATTTATTTTATTTTATTTTATGAGACAGGGTCTCACTGTCACTCAGGCTGGTGTACGGTGGCGAGATCTCAGCTCACTGCAACCTCCACCTCCTGGGCTCAAGTTACCTACCCACCTCAGCCTCCTGAGTAGCTGGGGCTAGAGGTGCACATCACCACACCAGCTAATTTTTGTATTTTTAGTAGATGCGGGGTTTCACCATGCTGGCCATGCTGGTCTCAAACTCGCAACTCAAGTAATCTACCTGTCTCGGCCTCCCAAAGTGCTGGGATCACAAGCATGAGCCACCACACTGGCCTCTCAACCACTTTCTAAGCAGGGAGATAGTACTGTCCCGTGTGTGTGTGTGTGTGTGTGTGTGTGTGTGTGTGTGTGTGTGTGTTTAAATGCAGCCCATGTATATGTTGTTAGTGGTCAACTTTCTAACACTTAAATGGTTACACAGTTTGATCTGACCTGGCTACAGCTGTGTTTGGCTTGAATCCTTTTCATTTTGCTATCTTAAGGCTTATAAGAAATTCATCTTCATTTTAGTCTTTTCTCCTAATAAGCTTTCATTGTACCATCATCCATGTTCTGGTGACAGATTTTACTCTTTTTTAAAATTTTAGATTTGGGGGGCACATGTCCATGTTTGTTACATGGGTATATTGCATAATGGTGGGAGTTGGGCTTCTAACATATCCATGTACTACTACCATGCTGTTTTAATTTCCACAGCCTTATAATTCATCACTCAAATATTGAATGGTATACCCAATAGGTAATTTTTCAAACCTCAGCCCTCTCCATTTTGGAGTCCCCAGAGTCTATTATTTCCCTCTGTATGTATGTTTACACCCCATTATTTAGCTACCGTTTATAAGTGAGAACATGCCATATTTGATTTTCTGATTCTGAGCTAATTTGTTTAGGAAAATGGCCTCCAGCCTCAACCACATTGTTGTAAGTGACATGATTTTATTCCTTTTATGGCTAAATAGTATTCGCTGTGTATATATACCAATCAACCATTGATGGACATTTAGATTGGTTCCATGACTTTGCTATTGTGAACAGTGCTGCAATAAACATATGAGCGCATATGTCTTTTTTAATATAATGATTTATTGTTAATTGTTTTTTAATATAATGGTTTACTGTTCTTTGATGTGGATACCCAGTGGTGGGCTTACTGGGTCAAATAGTAGTTTTATTTTTAGCTCTTTGAGAAATCTCCATACTGTTTTACATACAAGTTGTACTTATCTACATTCCCACCAACAGTATGTAAGCGTTCTCTTTTCTCTCAATACACACAGACATCTGTTGTTTTTGACTTTTTAATAATAGCCATTCTGACTGGCTATATCTCTGTGCAGTGCTAATTTGAAATTATCTGATGATTAGTGATGCTGAGCATTTTTTTCATGTTTGTTGAATGCTTTTTTATCTTCTTTTGAGAAATAGTTGTTCATGCCTTTTGCCCAGTTTATAATGGGATTGTTCATTATTTTTTTTCCCGTTGAGTTCCTTGCAGATTATGGATATTATTCTTTGTTGGTGGCATAATTTGCAATTTTTTTCCGTTCTATGGGTTGCCTGTTTATTCTGTTGATAATTTCTTTTGCTGTGCATAGGCGTTTTAGTTTAATTAAGTTCCATTTTTTAATTTTTGTTATTGTTGCATTTGCTTCTGGGATCTTTGCCATAAATTGTTTACCTAAGCTATGTCAGAGGAGTTTTTCCTAGGTTTCCTTCTAGGATTTTTATAGTGTCATGTCTTATGTTTAGAGCTTTAATTCATCTTCTTCTTCTTTTTTTTTTTTTTTTTAAAGATGGGGTTTCACCATGATAGCCAGGCTGGTCTTGAACTCCTGACCTCAGGGGATCCACCCACCTCGGCCTCCCAAAGTGCTAGGATTGCAGGCATGAGCCACCACACCGGGCTGGGCTTTAATTCATCTTGAGTTGGTTTTTATAAATGGTGAGAAATAGGGGTCCAGTTTTATTCTTCTACATATGATTTTTTTAGCACTGCTTTTTTTTTTTTTTTTTAGCACCAGTTTTTCTAGCACTGCTTACTGAATAGGGTGACTTTTCCCCCATTGTTTATTTTTGTCAACTTTATCAAAGATCAGTTGGTTGTAGAGATATGGTTTTATTTCTGGGTTCTCTGTACTGTTCCCCATTGATCTATGTGTCTATTTTTGTAATACCACCATGCTGATTTAATTTCCAAAGCCTTACAATATAATTTCAAGTCAGGAAACATGATGTTTCAGGATTCGTTCTTTTGCTTAGGAGTAATTTGGCTGTTTGGACATTTTTGATTTTGTTTTGGGTCCTCCAAATTAGCTTTAGGATTGCTTTTCAATTCTGTGAAAAATGACACTGGTAATTTGACAGAAATAGCATTGAATCTATAGATTTGTTTGGGCAATATGATCATTTTAGTGATACTGATTCTTCCAATCCATAAGCATAGGATGTTCTTCCATTTGTCTGTGCCCTGACCTCTCAAAAAATGATTCAGCTATTCTACCTTAGGGCCTCATTGCCTTCTTGACCTATCCAAAGGGCAATTTTTACTTATTAAGTTATTTGTTTTTTTGTGATATTTGATACTCTTAACCTCCCCTCCTGTTTGAAAATTTTCCTCCCTAAACTTTTAAGATGCCATTTTCCATGGCCCCTTTCTGAACACTTTAGCATCATCATGACCATGTTCCCTCTCTTCTTTGTCCATTAAATGATTGAAGTCAGTGGCCTAGATCCTAAAACTAGATCCAACATCAAGAAAAAAATTGGCCATATTGAATGATATCAATAAATATTAGCTGAATAGCTTATTCTTATGAAATCTAGCCAATGCCTATTACTTAGACTATATACCTCATGAACTAGCAAATATGAAATCCAGAACTCAGGTGTAGGAGATTTAGGTCCAGATCTAATGCCATGCTTTCCCTTACTATACTATTGTTTTTTCTCTCATTAAAAAAATCTGACGATTTATTCTTTACTGATAAAACATACACACATACTCACAATGAGGCCAGTTGGGTTTGGGGCATTGAGATAAGGGCTATGCCTGTGGTGGTGAAATTCTTGCCGTCATGACAGTTTTTATGTAGGTAAGGAGACCAGCTCACTATGCCTTGTTTTGTGTCGTCCCCTCTTTACCCTTAATTTCATTTTTCAAACTCATGCCAGAATATTTTTTGGAAAATGTCTAACACTCATTTGAAATTTTTCAGTGGTTCAACATTAGGCATACATTGTTCCATCCTTTGATATTTCATAGAAGGCCCTTTATAATTTGCTCTCTGATTATATATTTATACTCTCAACTCCTCCACTTGCCCACTTGTGTCTTATATTCCAGATGGAGTAGACTCTTTGGTATTCCTGAATAATGGAATGGCTTTGCTCATCTAAGTGTTTTCTATACATATCATCTTGTTGGAATTTGATAGGAAGTTGCTGGGGGGAGCAAGAGATAACACTTCCCTTGCAGTCTTGGATTCTGAGTTCACTTAGAGATATACATAAAGCCAGACAAGTATAATGCAAAATTCACCTTCACACTGATAATGTGTATATTAAGAGTACGAAGTTTATATGGTTAGGCAAGTGGGTGTCCCTAAATCTCAGAATAGACAGCCTTATGCTGTCTTTCAGTCAAAAACAACACTGAAAAATTGTACTTCACCATGAGGGAAGAAGGACTTTTCTGATAAGCTTTCTGTATGGCCCAGAGAAAGATTATTGACTCTCTGAGAAAAGGAAAGCTATTCATAAGTAGACAAGATATGAAAACAACCTAAGTTTCTGTCAACAGGTGAATTAATAAAGGAAATGTGGTGTGTGTGTGTGTGTGTGTGTGTGTGTGAGTATGTATGAATATTATTCAATCTTTAAAAAAGAAAGAAATTCTGCCAGTTGTGACAACATGAAAGAAACTGAAGGACATCAGGTAAAGCAATATAAACCAAACACAGAAAGACAAATATAGCATGATCTCATTTATATGAAATAGTTGAACTCATAGTAATAGAGAATGGAATAATGTTTACCAGGTGCTGTGGGTGGAGAAATAGGGAAGATGTTAGTCAAAGGATTCAAAGTTGCAGTTAGAAGATAAATAAGTTCTGGACACCTAATGTTCAGAATGACAACTATAGTTAGTAATAATATATTGTACATTTTGCATTTGCTAAGACAGTAGATCTTAAGTGTTCTCACACACAAAATAGCAACTAAGTGAGATGATGGATAGGTTAGTTGGCTTGATTGTGGTAATCATTTCACAACATATATCAATCAAAACATCCCATTGTTGTATGACTTTAATATATTCAATTTTTATTTGCCAACTATACCTTCATAAAGTCGGAAAATAGGCTCAAAAATGTTTTCACTCTTTGACCCAGCAAATCTTCTCGAATGCCTAGAAGAATTCTCCTCCTGGATATTGACCCAGGAAATTGGGGTTGATGCACAAAGATTAATGCACAAGGTTATCATCCTAATATTATCTCTAATTGTAAGAAAATTGGTTACCATAAATGTTTCACAATTGAAAGTTAATTCAATAAATTATGGGGCAGTCATTAAAGAAAAAGAGAGAGAGAGAGAGTACATAGCCCTGTTCTCCTTTCACAATCACCAGTCAGATTAAGCTGGTCATCTTCTCCTGTGGGGGAGTTAGTGAGAGAACAGAGAATGCTCAGAAGTATGGAAGTAAAGTTCCCTCAAACTCTAAGTATTTTTGAATGAGTAATGAATATGTGAATATGTGTATCAAATATACAAATATAACCTAGTTCTATCAGGAACTTTTTAATTTCACATCAAACAAAACACAAAACCTTCACTTTGCCTTATTTTAAGTTGATTAACTCACATAACTGAAAAGTATGGTGACAGAATTTTCTCTGGGTGTGGTCGAATGAGTCCAGGTACCAAAGCAATGTCAAACTTGGTCTGTCTTCATCTCTGCTTTCCTCTATCCCCATTCCAATCTCAGGCAGGCTGTTTCCTTACTAAGACAGTAAGATTACCATCAGCATCTGGCAACTTTCCCATAAATGCAGCTCACCAGGTCAAAAGAGGGGTTCATGTTCCCCAAAATTCTAGCAAAAAGGCTGAGGTTGTCATTGGATGGCTTGGGCTTTCGTACTAAAATAATATACTTTTTTTTTTTTTTTTTTTTTTTTGCTAAGCCTGATTCTGTGTCCTTACTAGAACTGTGGTTAAAGTTAGGGTTAGCTGAAGGACTGAGCAGAAGGAGGGGTGGCTCACCAAAGGGATAGCAGAGTGTTGTTTCAGGAGAAAGAGGATCTATTTGGGACATGCAGAAACAAAGAATGTCCACATATGCGCTGTTCGATAGGTGAAAGGAGCGATAAAGCAAGGTAGAACAGATTTTGAGTATCAGTGAAGCCGAGTCTAGTTAGAATTATTTTTTCTAGATTATGCTTATTGTTAAATTTTACTTCTCTATGTTTCTATTGCAGCCAGCCAGGAGATTGTACTCATTTTTTTGTTAGCCTAGAAATCACTTTCTTGAAATAGGTAAACTGGGAAATATTTTTGCTATATAGAAAGTATTGTTGCTGTGACAATTGTGATAGTAGAGGCCTTTTGGAAATGAGTCAGGAAATAGAAGAAACAGAAATCCCAGTCTCCTCTGTCGAATGAAACAGGATACAAGCAGCTGTAAATTTTTCTGTTCTAGTTTCCCCTAGAATCACACAGATACACACACACACACACACACACACACACACACAGAGAGAGAGAGAGAGAGAGAGAGAGAGAGAGAGAGAGAGAGAGAGAAACACACATATACAAACACACAAAAGCAGGCCAAATAATAATCTAACCCAAAAATAATGAAACAAAAAAATACATATGCCAACTTTCATCTAACAGCAATAAAAATACCTAAAAAATGTACACTGAATGGTATGTGTCAGATTGTATTGACTCATTTGTGAAAGAAAAATTGCAGTATTACTCATTCTTGTTTAAAAGAACATATTTAGAGGTCTCAGTGATTCGTGATGATCAGCAGAAACAGACCCTTTGTGCTCTGTTGTACACTGGCAGCGATGTCTGTGTCAGCTTTGCCAAGGCCCCAGTTGTGTTCATTCCAATATGGACTAATTTTATTTTCCTCCCTCTCTCTCTGTTTTTAATGTTTGAAAAATACAATAGAATTGTCTCCTCAGCATGTGGATATCTGCATGTGTTAGAATTACTTCTATTTTAAACTCACTCTCTTTTTAATTTAAAAGTACATGTCAGAACATGCAGTCTCCTTTCTCTTCACCCTCCTAGAAAATAGGAAATATACAAACTGATCTTGATGGAGACAAAAAGCCAACTTGTAGGGGAAACAAACAAAGAACAATTAAGCACGCAAACAAATATAATGACAGAAACACCATTTGAAGGTTTGGGTGATTTGATTTGAGTTGAAATCCTACAGGATTTCATATGAAGAACTGCAATACAAAAAATAACAGCAAGGACATAGGGAGAAATACAGACAATCTTTTTGTCTGGATATTAGTAGGCAAGGCATTAACTTTGCCTTGCCTCAATTTTAAGTCATTAAAATGAAACTTCTCAATTATGAATATCCATACATAGGCTTACTATATGAGAAATAATAATAAAAAGATCTAACACTTATTGAGAGTTCATTTTTGTGTGAGATAATATGTTTAGAATATATATATAACATATCATGTGTGTGTTTATATAACACGCATAATTTCTATATCTAAAGATACGCATATGCCAAAATAAAAAAACACTACCCTCTATGAGGCTGACTTGGACTTGGGTCATTATCCCCTTTTTACAGGTGTGAAGACACGTTGATGTAAGGTACTGTCATAAATACTGTCTGGGGTACACTATTCGGACCCTTATGCAGGATTCGGTACTGCTACGGTTTGAATGTTTGTCCCCTTTAAAACTCACCTTGAATTTTTTTTGTTTCTGTTTGAGACAGATCTCACTCTGTTGCCCAGGTTGGAGTGCAGTGGTGCAATCTTGGCTCACTATAAACTCCACCTCCCAGGCTCAAGTGATCCTTCCACCTCAGCCCCTGGAGTAGCTGGGACCACAGGCACACACAACTACACCCAGCTAATTTTTATATTTTTGTTGTAAAGACAGGGTTTTGCCATGTTGCCCAGGTTGGTCTCAAACTCCTAGACTCAAGCAATCCACCCACCTTGGCCTCCCAAATTGCTGGGATTATAGGCATGAGCCCTTGTACCTGGATTATACTGAAATTGAAACCCCACTGTAGAAGTACTGACTGAGCATGGGGCTGCTAAGATGTGACTGGATCATGAAGACTGCTTTCATGGATGGATTTGTCCATTAATTCATTAATGTATTACATTAATGAATTAATGGGTTGATGGGTTATCATTGGAGTAGTATCGGTGGCTTTATTAAAAGTAGAGGAGAGACCTGAGCTAGCATGCTCAGCCTCTTCTCTATGTGGTAACTTGTGCCGTCTTGGGACTCTTCAAAGTCTCCACCAGCAAGAAGGCTCTTAACAGATGCAGCCTCTTGACCTTTGGCTTCTCAGCAACTGTAACCATAAGAAACAATTTACTTATTAAAAAAGAATACGTTATCCAATTTCAGTTATCCTGCCATAAGAAACAGAAAACAGACTAATACACAGGTGCTTATTTCTCTAGATGTCTGAAATGTTGGCTCCAAAATCTCACAGCTGAATTCCTCTTGGGGAATTCCTCTGCCAAAGAAAGCTTCCTGGTCTCAGGTTACACTTAGTGCCTTTGGACAGTCTCCTTCCACTCACTAGTCTGGAAGAGAGTACAAAAGCCCACCCCTTGCCTCAATCTGGGACATCTCTGAAAGGATGTCTTAGCTCCAGAATTCCCTGAGGGATTGCTGGGGCTTCGGTTGCAATCACATTGCTGTTCAGCTTCCTCCTCTGGCCATTCCTATTACTATCATTCCTCATGGGTGTTGATTAACAGCAGTCCTCAGTCAACCTCCTTCATACAAATTTTGTCTCATAGTCTATTTCTGGCAACAGCAGCCTAAGGCAGGCATCTAGACTAGGTACCAGTTAAATGTCTGATATTACAGTTATTTATCAGAAGCACCTATATTAACTATAGAGTGTTGTTAAAAGTCAGTTAAGTAATAGAGAAAATATAAAGGCTTTGCATCTTATCCAAATACTTACTACATTTATTGTTACACATAGATATTTATATGTAATGCTTCATCAGTTAATCTCTGGCCACATTACCTAAGAGACATATCCATGTAGCATAAAGTCAGTCCTGTCCTAAATGCTGTTGGCTCACAATAAGTAGGACCAGTGATTTTATTGGTCTTTTTTTTTCTTGCGTTATGCAATGCATAATAAGGAAATGTGTGGTCGTCAGTGCCTGAATGCCACTTTCAGTAATAGAAACGCCTTCTGGGGAAATAAGATTGGTGCCAGGACAAGAATATGGAAGCAAGCTTGAAATTATTTCACTTCTATTTCAGAATGGTTTTTAAAAAAAGGCAGCAGCAAGACCATTTTAAGGGCTGCCACCACAATGAGGCATTTGAATGAAAATACTTCTATAGCTTTCCGTAACCTGCTAAATAGAAATACAAGGATCTTAGGAGGGCCTGTCAGCAGTGCCAACTTACCTTTGCACATTATCGTTCACAAGTTGCCTTCATTAGCATTTAATTTTTTTTTCGGAGTGGACTTATTCCTGAAACAGAAATAAAAACAAATATGTAAAAAATAAAAAAGTATAAACTGTCTGGCTAAGATAGTATAAACCCCTACAGATATTCTCTCTTGGTGATTACAGCCCAAAATTCTAGACAAAATTTTTTTCAAGAACAACTTATTAAAATTTAAACAAAAATAGGCAGACTAGGGAGGGGAGTCAAAAACTGAAGATATGCCCTGAAAAGGCATGAGGTCCCATTGCTTTATTTATTTATTCATTTTCTCTCAAGAGGCCACAATTGAATTTTGGCAGTAGTAGAACATTAAAATGGAAAGAATCCCTTATTTTTGGCTGGAGACCTCCTGCCCCCAAATCCCTAAAACCTGAAGGATGAGGATAAATATCAGGGAGGATATCTGTATAATGGAAACCTATAGAATGTGTATGGACCTGCACAGGTCTGGCCTTAACATTAAACTTTATGTGTAAGACAGATGCAGACTAGCATAGAAACAATTTTGAAAACTAGTCTGACATTGCAGCTATCATGTAGAGAAAGAAGATAGAAGTTAAAATTTGTTACAAACTGTGTTGATTTCCTGCCAAACCAACAACAAAAAATCAATATTCTCCAGAGGATTTTAACAGGACCTAGTATCTATACAGCACAACGTATTTTCAATTAAAAGTGATTCAATATACAAAGAATTAGAGAAAATGTTATAGGTTCTCTAGAGAAAAGGCTAACAGATAATACCCATGAGATGACACAGATGTTGAAAATATTAGATAAAAACTTTAAGCAGCTACTATAGCTATACTCTATAATATAAAGGTAAACACAATTGAAATAAATGGAAAGGTAACAGTTTTCAGCATAGAAATAGAAACTATTAAATAACCAAGTAGGGCCAGGAGCAGTGGCTCACTCCTGTAATCCCAGCACTTAGGGAGGTTAAGGTAGGTGGATCACCCAAGGTTGGGAGGTAAGGTAGGTGGATCACCCAAGGTTAGGAGCTCAAGACTAGTCAGATCAACATGGTGAAACCCCATCTCTACTAAAAATACAAAAAGATAGCCGGATGTGGTGGCATGCACCTGTAATACCAGCTACTTAAGTGGCTGAGGTGGGAAAACCCCTCGAATCCAGAAGATGAAGGTTGAAGTGAGCTGAGATCACGCAACTGCACACCAGCCTGGTGACAGAGTGAGACTCCATCTCAAAAACAAACAAACAAACAAACAAAAAACAGGTAAAAACTTTAGAACTTAAAAATGCAATATCTGAAATAAAATTTTTACCAAAAAAGCTGAATAGCAGAATGAAGATGACAGAGGAAAAAGTCAGTAGACTTAAAGATAGGCTAATAGAAAATTTTAAATCTGAAAATAAGAGAAAAATCATACATTTACAGATTCAACAACCGTGAACCCTCCAATACCCAAATAAATTAAAAACTAAAAGACCATCCAGACACATAACAATGGAACTGATGAAAACCAAAGATAAAGAAAACATCTTGAAAGCAAATGGAGAAAACTAACATGTTACATAGAGGGGACAAAATATAAATTACTTTCTATTTCTTGTCAGAAACCATGTAGGACATAAGACAGTGAAACAACAAATTTAAAATGCTAAGAGAAAAGAGCTATCAACAAAGACTCCTATATACATTAAAAATATCCTTCATGAAAGAAGATTATTCTTTAATGAAATAGAAATATTCAGAGATGAAAGGAAACAGAATTTGTCACCAGCAAATCTGCTCTAAAAGAAATGCTAAAGGAGGTTTTTCAGACTGATGGAAAATTACAGTGAAGAGAAACTTCAAAGTTTAGAAATGAGGAAAGAGCATGAAAAATAGTGACTGTCTGGGTTAATATGAAAGACAAATTTCTTTCCGGAATTCTATAAAATACAATTGACTATTGAAAGAAAAATTACTGCAGTGTCCAGTGAAGTTGTCAGGTTTGTATATGTATGTATGAAAACCAAAAGATGAAGGAGAAATCTAAATACTTATAGGACTTGTAAATTTTGTTGGTGTAGTAAAATGTTACCTCTACATAGAGTATAAAAGGGAGCTGTATACATTGTAGTCTCTGGTGCAACCACTAAAAAAAATTAAAATGTAATACAATAAAATATAGGTAAAAAGACAATAGATAAGTAAATACTAAGTGCAGAAAAATTATGTTAAAAATTATGAGAAATGATAATCCCCAGAAAACTGGCAAAATAAAACAACACCTTTAATGTGGCAAAGGTTATCTATGAAACTATATACATAGTGGACACTGAATTCATTCTACTAAGATCAGGAATAGGGCAAGGATAGCAGCTCTTACTACTCCTATTCAACATTATACTGGAATACTAGCATTGCAATAAAACAAGAAAAATAAATCAAAGACATATGGGTTAACAATGAAGGAATAAAAATATTTCTCTTTTTGGATGATATGATTATCTGTATAGGAATTCCCAAAGATCCTATAAAAATTATCTTAGAACTAATAAGTAAGCTTTTGTGATTGAGGAACAAAATTATTATACAAAAATCAATTGTCTTTCTATATACTAGCACTAAATAACTAGAAATCAAGATTTAAAAGTAGTATTTTTATCATAGCACCAAACAACATTAAAATGTATAAACAACATGGAATAGGTATAACTCTTTAAAATTAAGTACAAAACTTGTTTGCAGTAAGTCCTCACTTAACATTGTCAATAGGTTCTTGATGACTGTGACTTTAAGTAAAGCAATGTACAGCAGGTTCTCAAATAACATTGTTTTGTTCAATGTTGTTTCATTATGATGCTGATGAGAAAAAATCAGTTTTGTAATACATCATTTTGTTTAAAATCGAAGTTAGTATAGTAAGTTATGCTGAAAATGACAAAGCACTAATGAAAGGTCTAAGACTGAAATCATTAGAAAGATATACTATGTTCATTTTTAAGAGGACAGTTCTCCCTAGGTTGATTTATAGATTTAATGTAATTTTGAACAAAATTCTAGCAGGATTTTTAACTAGAAATCAACAAGCTAATAATTAAATATACTTGGATGTCAAAGGAAATTGAATAGTTAACCCATTGTGAAAATGAGGAAGAATTCTGTAAGACTCACTTTACCTGACTTCAAACTTTTTATATATTAAGCTACAGTCATCATAATTGTGTTTTTGTGGAAGGATGAAATGTAGAAAAATGGAGTGTATCCATATATATATATACACACACATACACACACACACACAATTGATTTTTGACAAAGTTGCTAAAATAATTCAAAGAAAAAAGGTAATCTTTTCAACAAATGAAACTGGAAGACTCTAAGCAAGAAAAAAAAATAACTTCAATTCATACTTCAGACCTTCTGAAATATTGAGTCAACATGTATAATTTCTTTCACTACAAAACCTAAAATCATAAAACTTCTGTAAGCAAACAAAAGAGAAAATCTTTGTGATTCTTAGATTTTGCACAACATATTCTTAGATAAGTCACCAAAATCACTTCTCAAAAAGGAAAAAAATAACATAATTAAATTGTATTAAAATTTAAACATAATTAGTGAAAAATACCATTGAGAAAGTAAAAAGACAAGTCACAGACTGGGAGACAAGGTTTTAAAATTATATAGCTGATAACGAATTTGTGCAGAACCTATATGGAATTTTAAAACCCAGTAATAAAGAAACAAGCAATCCAAGTTATTTTGAAAAAAAAAAAAAAGCAGAAGAACTATAGAGACATTTCACCAAAGAAGATATTCAGATGGGCCGGGCGCAGTGGCTCACACCTGTAATCCCAGCACTTTGGGAGGCTGAGGCGGGTGGATCACGAGGTCAAGAGATCGAGACCATCCTGGTCAACATGGTGAAACCCCGTCTCTACTAAAAATACAAAAAATTAGCTGGGCATGGTGGTGCGTGCCTGTAATCCCAGCTACTCAGCAGGCTGAGGCAGGAGAATTGCCTGAACCCAGAAGGTGGAGGTTGCGGTGAGCCGAGATCACGCCATTGCACTCCAGCCTGGGTAACAAGAGCAAAACTCCATCTCAAAAAAAAAAAAAAAAAAAAAAGAAGATATTCAGATGGCAAGCATATGTAATGGTGATTAACATTATTTTTAGGTGGATTAGTCTCCTAAGCCTGCCATCAAAAATTGCCACGAACTGGGTGTGTGTCAGTCTGTTTTCATGCTACTGATTAAGACATACTTGAGACTGGGTAATTTATAAAGAAAAAGAGGCTTAATGGACTCACAGTTCCATGTGACTGGGGAGGCCTCACAATCATGGCAGAAGGAGAAAGGCACATCTTACCTGGTGGCAGGCAAGAGATAATGAGAGCCAAGCAAAAGGGAAAACCCCTTATAAACCCATCAGATCTTGTGAGACTTATTCACTGCCATGAGAACAGCATGTGGGAAACCGCCCCCATGATTCCAATTATCTCCCAACAGGTCTCTTGCACTATGTGTAGCAATTATGGGAGCTACAAATCAAGATGAGATTTGGTTGGGGACACAGCCAAACCGTATAAGGGAGGCTGAGAAAAGCAAAAACAAAAAACCCAGAAATTTATTATCTGAAAGTTCTGGTGCCTAAAAGTAAGAAATCAAGATGGAAAACAGTTTGGCAGCATTTCACATAGTTAAGCATACACTTATGTTAACATATTAATCTTTATTCAAGAGAAATCCAAATTTATGTTCACACAAAAATTTACACTCAAATGCTGATGATGGCTTTATTAATAATTGTCAAAAAGCAAAAACAACCCAAATAATCTAGTGGTTAGTGGATAAGGAAACTATGATACATCCACATAATACAACTCAGCAGTAAAAGGGAATTAACTTGATACATAAAACAATGTGAATGCAACTTAAATGCATCATGCATTATCCTAAGCAGCTTATCAATACAACTCCCCTAGGTCAAGTTCTTCCCTAGAGGGAATTCAGTTGTAAGGTGTTACGATAGCAATATTTATGCATTGTTGTAATCCATTATAGG